TCTGCTCAGCCCAGCTGGCGTGGCTCAGAGGTTGGGTATCAACATGGTTCGATTCCCGGTCAGGGCACATGCCCGGGTTGTGGGCTCGGTCCCCACTGGGTGTGCAGGAGGCAGCCGATCAATGATTCGCTCTCGTCATTGATGTTTCTCTCTCTCTCTCTCTCTCTCTCTTAAATCAATAAAAATATATTTTTAAAAATATCTGCACGAGTGTGGGTTATGTTCTGGGGATATTTCAGGCCACTCTGTGGTTTCACAGATCAACAGCTCCACCCAGGAGAGATTCTGAGACAATGAGGTCACCGAAGGGCGGGGTGAGGCAGGTCGTGTGGCTGAGGAGCCTGGGGAGGGGGTTCCCTGGCAGCTGGTCAGTTTCCCCCAGAAGATTCCCAGGCCCCACCTGGGCCAACGGAACCGGAATCTCTGAAGGGGCCACCTGGGAGTCTGCACCATCCAAGTTCCCCCAGTGACCTCATGACCTGCGGGTTTGGGAGCCGGGGGGTCACGCGGGAGCAAGGCAAGGCGAGGGCCCACCGACCCTCCACGGGCTCTCCGGTGGCTGGAAGCCTTCCAGCTCCCACCCCAGCCGGTGAGTTTCTTGGGGTGCACACTTGGTTTCTCTCCTCTTTGTCATCCCCGCACAGGGCTGGCCTCATTCTCTACGTGGGAGTTGGATTGATTTTCAAAATCTCTCCCCTTCCTGGACCCTGAGTTGACGTTATCCGAGGCCCGGATGATGGAGACTGTCTCCCAGGGGTCTAACCAGGCCCCTGCTGAGCGCCTTGGAGGCACCAGTGGTTCCTGAGGGCGGACGGGACCTCATTGGGCCAGGCAGCCCCTTCCCTCCCCCCTTTCCCGGCAGTCCCTGCCATCACGCCCCCTGCCCCAGCCCGCCACCCCGCCTCCTCCAAGACGCTCACAAACAATCCCTTCCAGGGAGGAGGCTTCGGCCTCCCGCACAGCAGGCGCTGTTGCCGCTGTGGCCACGGTCCCACAGGCACAACCGGCTTTCCTGCTTTCTGTTCTTCGAGGGGCTGGTACCTGCTGCCTCTGCTCATTTGTGTGACTGAACCTGGAACAAAGCAGCACCTGGCTCAGGGGCAGGTCCCCGGCCTGCAGAACCCTCTCACTCCACCAGGGGGCGCCAGTCCCGGGCTGTCCTGTGACACAGAGGAAGCATGTCAAACTCTCGCTTGAAGTAATTCCTCCCTCCAGAAACAATTCGAGAAACGAAAGCCCTTTCACCGGATTGTGGGTTCATTTTCTGGTGGAATCTTCCCTGATCCTCTTTCATGAGGCCCATCCAACACAGACACCTGAAGAGAGAACTGGGAGGCCCAGAAAGGCTGAGGCTGGCCCAAGGCCACACAGCTAGTCAGCGCCAGAACCAGAGCCCGAGCCCAGCTCTTCGACCTCCAAGCGAGAACGCTGGAGCTGATGAAGCCGCTCCCGAAAGGGGATCCCTGAAGCCCGGGATGTCCTCTTGTGCGGCCCATCGGGGACGGTGGCAGAGTCTGGGAGACACTGAGGTTCGCAGGATCCTGGCGTGCAGAGTATCTCCAAGGACCTTCGGTGCCCAGGAAAGACGACTGTCTGGCTGTCTGGCAGGAGAGCTGCCCTTCAGATCCAGGTCTGGTTTCTATGCACATTTAACAGGGAGTCGCGTCCCTGGGAAGAGCATCTGAGCTCCGGCAATCCTCCGAGGGAGGCCTGGCCTGGCCTTGCATCCCACTGGGTCCCAGGCCTGCCTTTCTGGCAGAATTAGGGACCGCGGGGCCATCATTTATATGAGAGCGACACCCAGTGGACATTGGTGGTATCGCCGTCCCTAAGAAGAGCTCCAGAACTACCGTGTCCCAGCCCTCGGGCCTCCGGTCCTGGCTGGGAGGGCACAGGCCGCCAGGACATGCAACTGAGTGTTGTCCTCCTCAGATCCCCCTGAGGGAGGCTGGTGTATGCAGGTTCCAGCTCGGCTGCTGTTCCCTAGACCTGGTGGGAGGGCTCCCTCTGCACCTGCCTTTACTTCTGGGGTCTTCCCTGTGGGGCAGCGGGCCCTCGCCGAGGCTCTGTGTTAGCACCTGCTCCTGAAGGAGGGTGCGGGGGGGGGGGGGGGGGGCAGCACCTCTCGGGAGGCGGGGCTCCGGCGCTAACCGGGTGACCGGCAGCAGATGTTCTGGAATTCGGTTTCCTCCCCTCCAGCAGCTGGAAGGGTGGCCTTGGAGGTCCCTAACTCTCTGGTTTTAGGCTCCAACTAGGTCTGGGGTGGGTGCAGGCAGAGTGAGATAAGGAAAAGGGCAGTGGTGATAAGAGTCATCCAAGAGGCCCTGGCCAGGTAGCTCAGTTGGTTGGGGCATCGTCCCCATACACCCAGGTTCAGGGTTCGATCCCTGGATGGGGCACATCCGAGAAGCAACCAATGAATCCACAAATAGGTGGAATGAGAAGTCGACACCTTTTTCTCTCCCCTTCCTTGCTCTTTACAAATCAATCAATACATTTTCTTTTAAAGAAGAGGTGATTTAACAGGAGTCCCTGACAAACACGAGACTGTTTGACCCTTGTGTCATTGGCATGTATTTGGTACCTTGAGGTTCTTCTCACTTTGCCAGTGAGAATAATGGCCGATCTGAACTGGCTGGGGGTGTGGTGTTATGTGAGGGCCCAGGTCTAAGCTGGGACCCTGGTGAGCAGCTGGCCCTCTCTGAGCCCCAGGGCCTCTTTGTAAAGGAAGGGCGACCACACTCACTTCCCGGTCAGCAGGCAGGGTCAGACGCGCCCCCATCCGGAGGCACACGCACAGCACCTGGTGGGATTCCTGAACGTCCTGTCACCTCCCACTCGCCCTTCCCTGCCCCCACTGGGCGAGGAACCACCACAGCGGAGAAAGGCCTTCAGCGGGGAGTCAGCTTCACGCGGTATTTCTCCACAGCGGCCGCGGGAGGGGTCAGTCCTCTGGTCGCCTGTACAGGGAGAAACGGAGGCCAGGCTTGGCTTCAGCTCACACAGGGAAGAGCTGAGGTTTGAACCCCCGTCTGCTGGACGGTTTTCACAGGTTCCCAGAGGCAGTGCAGCAGACACGCAGGTGGAGAAGTCCGCGGGGAGGAGGGGGCCAGGGCTGCACGGGAAGCCCAGCTGCTCCACAGGTTAATAGTTAACACCCTGCATTCCCAGGAGGGGGGCCTAGGGCAAGGCCCTCTGGCCCTTGATTCTGGCTGGACTCCCCCCCCCCCCCCACACACACACACATAGGGGATCTCCCACCGGCCTCTCTGGGGAGTCCAGGCGTTTCAGTTGCAGCCACTCTGGCTCCGGCACACGCTGCCGCTTCTGTAGTGCCTCCCGGTTTCACCGACAGCACCCCCCTGGGGTGGGGGCAGCGTTATTCCCCTTCCTCTGCGGGTGGGAGCAGGCTCAGGGAGCTTCCTGGCTTTCATGACCTTCCCCTGGAGGTCACACAGTGGGGCCTACGTGGGCAGCTCCTCAAAGCTGCTGATGGGCAACCGTCCTCAGCACCCGTGGCCTGACTGGCGAGGCTCCTCCAGGCCGCAGTCTCCGTCCCCAACAGTCTTGTCTCCCAGAGGCCGAGGCGAGGGCCCCGCAGCAGTGAAATGGTTGCTCATTCCTGCTCATGCCCTCCAGGCTGACAGCAGCTCCTTGAAGGTGCACTTCCTGCAACTAGCTGCTGCTGCTGCTGCGTGCTCACCACCTGTGATGCAATCGCCAGGGCCGGCCAGCGGGTGATGAGTCACTCCTTCCAGGGTGTGTTCAGCTGTGCCCATCAGCCCCCCAGCCTCCCGGCCCCAGCTCAGGGCCCCCAGCAGTTACAGGGCTGAAACCCCGCCCGGAAGGCCCCTGTGACCACACCAGTTCCTCAGAATTCCCCCAACCCAGCCTTGATCGAGCTCGACGGCTCCCCACTTGCTGCGTAAGCCTTTCCCAGGCCCAGCTGGGGGGCCCGGTCGAGGCCCGATGCCGGTTCTACACTGAGCCGCAAAGCCATCTCCACCACGTCACTGCTCTTCCATGTGCTTTGCTTTTCCTCCTGTACAACGGGAATCAGGTAATGGGAGCGAAAGCCCCACCTGCCTGCTGTGAGGGCTGAGAGGCGGCTCAGCACCGTGACCGGCACATGGTGGATGTTGAATGAATGACATGGATGCGGGTGCGGGTGGGTGTGTGCGCACACGTGTGACTCTCCATCTCTCCCGAGCACTTGACTTCTCTTCACCGTGTTTTCTGGCAACACCAACTCGAGCACCACGGGGCTACCCCGTTTCTCTCTTCGCGAGAGTCCTGGTTTCTTGGTTCATCCTTCCTTTTGCTTTTCTAACCTCTTCCTCCACGCCTGGTGTTCCTGCTGCCCACGTTCACGGTCCTCTGCAGCTTTCATTCCCAGTGGCGTGTGGTGGCAACATAGGTCAACGCTCAACCACTGCAATGCGTGTGTTTGCTTTTTAATGTGTGACAACGAGCACAGCACACTACGTGGGTAACAGATCCTCATGGCGCGAACCTCACTGCCCCACCAGGTCCCTCGCCCGCATGTGGGTGGTGGGGACGTGGCCTTGGCAAGAGAAACATGAACCCTGTGACCCACAGCCACGGAGCCCACGAGCGAAAGGGCTTTGTCCATCGCCTCCTTCACTCGACTACTGATCCTGCAATAAGTTATTTTTCCTCTAAAGCAGCGGTTCTCAACCTGTGGGTCGCGACCTCTTTGGCAGTCGAACGACCCTTTCACAGGGGTCGCCTAAGACCATCCTGCATATCAGATATTTACATTACGATTCATAACAGTACAGTTATGAAGTAGCAACGAAAATAATTTTATGGCTGAGCCACCACATGAGGAACTGTATTTAAAGGGCCAGAAGGTTGAGAACCACTGCTCTAAAGCAACAGAGAAGGGGAGTGCAGGTGTCAGTAAAAAGCCGTGGCCTCCCATGGTACGTGGCCCCTTTATTTTTTTAACTTAGGAGAAAAAGAGCCAAGCCACCTAGTTGTTTCTGTACATAATTACATTTATTTACAAAAGCAGCCACAGCACCAGGGACAGTAAGATGACTAGCTGCCACACAGTACTGGGAGGGGTAATCTCCTTGGTTTGTTTTTTTCTTAAAAAAAACACAAAACCAAACCCACACCAAAACACTCTGATGAAGTTACCAGTTAAGGTAACTGGAAGGTTTTGGAAGACTAATACTGCAGAGGTATTTTAAGTTGTTTTCAGTTAGTGACTGAGGATTTGATTTCATCATCTGGAGCTGAAAGAAAAAAAAAGTCTCATGTCAGTAACCGGTAAAATGCAGTCAACCTGCGTGGCAGCCTGAGAGTCATGATTACCCTCCTATTCGTGCCCTTTTGTAATAAATCCAACAACAGCCAGGCGCCGGCGGGGGGGGGGGGGGGGGGGGGGGGGGCAGAGACGTAGGGACTGGCCTCCAGGCCAACGGAAGCGGGAGTTCCGCAGAAGCGCTACCTTCGGTGCAGAGCCCGAAGGCCCCGCCCCGGCCCCTCGGACTGACCCCTCTCGGCGGGCAGTGGAAATGTCCCACGTGTCAGCTGTCACCCTCTCAGCATTTATTTCCTTCTCTGCCACATGACTCTGCTGGTGACAGCTTCCTTCCCACCTCAACTTCCCTCTTGGTCACCTCCCTGGTGCTGACACAATCGGGGGTTAACACAGAGGAAGCGGCTAAAAGCTGGGGGCACCGCCTCCCTGAGCAAGCCCCTCACTCCCTGGCTTCTGTCTTCTCCACAGTCTGGATCTCAGAGACCAGAGCGTGTCAGCCGGGATCAGGCCAGATCAGCCCAGCCCAGCCCAGCCCAGAGTTCCCAAAATACCTGTGCTCCACCCCCAGCCTTCCTGACACTCCTGCTGTGGGAAATAACCTGGTGCTTTCCCCCTACCCAAACCTGGAAGTGGGCGCTGTGGGTTCGTGAGGGGCAAAAGCCGCCCTTCTCCCCCGAGTCCTGGCCAGCACAGGACTCCGGAGAGCAGCACCTGCCGGGCATGGCGCCCTCGGCCCCAGCTCCCCGCCACCCACAGCCTGATCCATCCGCTCTGGGGAACCAGACGGCACCTCCAGCGCCCGCAGGCGGCGATGCACCTGCAAACCTTTCCCCCCAGGGAGAGGGGTTCTGCTGCCTTTTGAACTTGGCGGACGCTGGGATGTTTCCAGGCCTTGACAGCACTCCCCGAAACTGCCCAAAGGAACTGTCCCTTCGCCCGCCCGCAGACACCTGACACCGACATGGCTGTGCTCAGCTGGTTCTCACTGCCTTTAGGTCTTCCTGACACTGTCCTCAGGAGATGTGACAATTCTGCATTTGCTGCCCCCCAGCTCTCCCCCTAATTCCCACCCCTCCGTCATACACGTGACTCTTTAATAACGGAGCCTAGGGAACTCCCCCTCCAGCCACGATGGGCTCTTTGCATTTAAAAATAATTATCAAATAAGCAGCAAACACACGGAGTGCGAAGTGTGAGAGTGAACAGAAGCATACGGAGAAAAGGGAAGCTCTCTCCCACACCCAGCCCGGAGCGAGCCAGTTCCTCCCTGGGGTGTCCCCCTAAATGTCAGGTTTGCCTCCTGGACCTGACCCCAGAGCAGCGTGTGCACCCAGAGCTCTCCTGCTCAGGAAGCTCCCGGCTCCCGGCCCATGTCAATCATTTAGCCTCCGACTTCCAAAGATCTCCCTGCAAATACGGACTCTCTTGCCGCTGCTTCAGCTTGGTGCGGAGCGGGCCGTGCCCTTTATCAGACACCCAGTTTCGTTCCCCCCACATCTCTGCCTCCATATTCCCGTCTGCGTGACCCCTGATGCGGGCCCTCTCTGCTTGGCCAGGTCATTCCATTTATTCCCTCACCCACGGCCCCATTCCCAACACTTGTCTATTAACCCTTTGGTAGTAGAGGATCTTTCTAACGCAAAGCTCCGCTCAAACATCCTGTGCTTCCCCTGAAGAAAAGCCCCGGACCTCTTAGCATCTCTCAGTGCCTTGGTCTGGCCCAACCTGCCGGTCCACTCTGCCCCTCACCCCGCAAAGCCCGGCTCCCGGGCCCAGCATCCTCCCACCAGCGGGATCTGTCACACGGGGCCTTCGGAGCCTCCGTATGGCATTTACTACGGACACCGCCCCCGGTGACCATGCCTGGGTCCTATCTTTTGCGCACACCCGGGCCCAGCCCTGACCCTGGCTCCTGAGGCGAATCCTCGGTCTGATCTTCCTGGGGGGGAGGAGCAGGGACATGTGTTGGCGGAGAGTACAACCCTGGGAGCTGAGGACCTCGATGTGCGTCTCGGCTCTCCCCCTTGCTGCCACGGGACTGGACTCCTGAGTCTCACCTTCAGGGTCTCTGGCACGTGGTACTGACCCCGTGCAAGGCTAGTGGAGAGGGTCCAATGGGAGGAGATGTGGAGGGTGGCCAGGGCAGTGCCAGCACGCGGCTGGTGCTTAACGAACTGTGGTTTGTATCTCTCTCTGCTGCTGTCAGTGGGTACGGTCCCAGGCACTGGCAGATACATAGAAGCTGGCTCCCCAAGTGACGGGCACCCGACAGCGAGGCTGTCCTGGTCTAGGACACGACACAGTTTCCCCAGAGCATGGTCTACAGGGCACTTACGTGGTTCATTCCGTCCGTCTGGCATAGTTCAGAAAACCTACGAATGAAGACATTTTCATCTCAATTAAAGAACTGGAAACGGAAGCTGAAACCTGCAGGTACTAACTGCCTTGTAGAGACGTGGATGTGAAAAACTCAATACCAGAGCCCTGTTGGCCGGCATATCTCACTGTCCCAAACGCTTCCATGAAACTTGGGACTGAGTTGGTCCAAAAATGAGTCATCAGATGACAGAGAAGCAGAAACTGCTGACAAAATGGTATGTCTACTGCAGAGTGGGCACAGGGCCGACCATGAAGGCAGGCTAGAATGGTGTGGACTAGCGCTGCCCAATAGGAGTATAATGTGAGCCACACAAGTATTTAAAAAATGTCTGTAGCCACGTACAGAAGAGATATGAAGAAATGGGTAAAATTACTTCTCGTAGTCTGTCTTACTTATTAGCCCAACATATAAAAATATTCTCATTTCAACATGTAGTCAATAGAAACGTTATGAATGATCCGTTTCACATTCCTTCCTCTAATACTGTCTTATAAACCTAGTGTGTAGTTTATACTCACAGCCCAGTGAGTGCTGGACTCCCACATTTCCAGGGCTGGACAGCCACACGTGGTTCGTGGTTACTGTGTCAGGCAGCGCAGGCTTGGGTGTGAAGGTACCGTTCCCACGGGTACACATCCGTTTCCTTCCCACAAGGCACCAGCCTCAGCCTCGAGCCACACTCCTGGTCCACGTGTAGGTGTCTGCCCACTACAACGAGGTGCTGGAGCTGTTCACCTTCGACTCACTCCCTTTCCCAAAGCTCCATGCCCAGCACCTTACCATTTCCCAACTCGTGGCTTTAGAGCGGAGACGTGTGCCAGATTATTTTTTTAGAACAATTGTTTTTAGGTTACGTGGTGCTACCAATACTGACACTGGAGTAATTTCCTCTCTACTGAATGCCCTTTAGCTTCCTCGTTAGCACTCCCCGTGGGAGTCACAAATGAGCCTTGCAAATACCCTTTTGGTGAAGGTGGATATGGAAACAGATGGGCCTTCAAGAATATCTGTTCCCATCTGGTCAATGTCCTTTGGGATGTGAGGAAGGGCTGTGTGTTAGGTCACCCATTGTCCAGGGCATACAGGTTGCTTTCTAGGTTGGCCCGATATCTCTGGGGGACCAAGGAAGTCTCAGGCAACACAGGTAACACCAGATCTTTATTACCCACTAGAGGCCTGATGCACAAAATTCGTGCACTTTGGGGGGGGGGGGGGGGCGGGGAGGTCCCTCAGCCCGGATTGCAAGAGGGCTCAGGCCAGGCCGAGGGACCCCACTGGTGCATGACTGGGGCCAGGGAGGGACTCGGGAAGTTGACCAGCCAGGGAGGGACCGCAGGAGGGCTCCAGGGAGTGTCGGGCCCGTCTCACTCAGTTCTGATCAGCCAGACCCCAGCAGCAAGCTAACCTACCAGTCAGAGCATCTGCCCCCTGATGGTCAGTGCACGTCATAGCGAGTGGTTGAACAGCCTTAGCATATCATTAGCATATTACGCTTTGATTGGTTGAATGGCCGACCGGATGACCAGACACTTAGCATATTAGATTTTTATTATATAGGACTCCATGTCACCCAACTCAACAAAAGTTCCTTCCTACCTGGGACCTCCTCCTGGGCCAGTGATGGCGAACCTATGACATGCGTGTCAGAGGTGACACGTGAACTCATTTTTTTGGTTGATTTTTCTTTGTTAAGCGGCATTTAAATATATAAAATAAATATCAAAAATATAAATCTTTGTTTTACTATGGTTGCAAATATCAAAAAATTTCTATATGTGACACGGCACCAGAGTTAAGTTAGGGTTTTTCAAAATGCTGACACGCCGAGCTCAAAAGGTTTGCCATCACTGTCTTAGGCTGTAAGACATGGGCACTGTGACCACAGCAGCCAAGAGTAAGGAGTCTTTTGCAAAATCTGGCTTGGAGACCAGAAGTATAACTCTATGCTGAAGTGGGCCCCGGACAGAAGGAGGCTGTAGACTAGATCCCAGGACTATCTGGCTGTGCCCGGAGGACTCATCCCACCTTAGAATCATGCAGAATCTTCGGAGGGACCTGGCACACTCGGCAACCAGACAAACACAAAACACAAAAGTTTCTGCTTCTTTCGAAATGCCTACCAATTCAAACTGTGTTTTTATCTCCAAATTCACTGTCCAGCCTTTGAAAAACCAACTCACATTTGAAAACTTATATTTTTAAGAGGAGTATACATACCAATTGCACAGGCTGCTCCTACTAATAGTACACCTATGAGTGTGTATCTATGCCTTGAATTACCTGTTAAAAAAAAGAAAGAAAGAAAGGAAAGAAAGAAGAGAAATGCAATTAGCTGACCTGGTCAAAATAAAGATACAGATGATCGTCCTTACTTGCAGCTCCCGTGTTTGCAATTTACCTACTTGCTAAACTTTGTTTTCCTCAAATCCATCCCCATAGCACCTTCACGATCACTTGTGGGCACATGTGGCCGATGGTGAAAAGCATGAGTCGCCCAATGCACGTGTCCCCGCCGAGTCTGAGCAAGGCCACACGCTGCCTTCCTGCCCCGCTCTCATTCTATCAGCAAGTGTTCTATCGTGGTCTCTTCAGTGCCAGTTCCCCACATTTTTTAATGTTTGTTGGTCTTTTGCTGGTGATTTCACGGCCTAAAACGGTCTCCCAAGCACAGTGCTGACATGTGGTCCAGCACCCCTAAGCACAAAAAGGCTGCCATGTGCCTCACAAAGAAATAGCTTTTGGAAGGGTTTGCTAACAAGTGGCAGGCTAGTCGATGTGAGTCACTATGATTCACTTGCTAAAGCATTAGAAAGTCTACACAAGAAATTAACACTTGAACAAGTAAGAGCCAATATTTAAATGTTGTATCTTCATGGATTTGTATCTGTTATGGTGCATGCAACTCTAGAAAAGTATTTAAAATCATCGGGGGGGGGTGGGGGGAGGGGGTTTTTATTGTAAAAGAATCATTTAGATCAGTGGTTCTCAACCTTCTGGCCCTTTAAATACAGTTCCTCATGTTGTGGCCCAACCATAAAATTAATTTCGTTGCTACTTCATAACTGCAATGTTGCTACTGTTATGAATCGTAATGTAAATATCTGATATGCAGGATGGTCTTAGGGGACCCCTGTGAAAGGGTCGTTCGACTGCCAAAGGGGTCATGACCCGCAGGTTGAGACCGCTGATTTAGATCATTAAGCTCAGGCCCAGATTTTCAGAGAAGAAAACATTTGGTTACTGGAGACCAAAAACAGGTCCCAGACATATATGTATCTCATGTCAACACTACTCTGGGATTTAAAAGGCCAAAGAACTATCTGGCAATGTCTCTCAAACTTTCAAAATCTACAATGTAATGTGAACCATCAATGGGGAGGGGAGATTTTTAAGAAGATGAATCACAACTATTTAATAAAAAAGGGTTTGTTTTCAAAATCACAACTCGTATTTCACGTCAGTGAGAGGGATGTTATGGTGACGACCCTTCTCTTCAAGGTGTCTGCGAGGTGTAACATTCAATCCCAACGGCAAGTGTCCAATGAAAACCGGGCAAGGACCGAATGCTTGCAAACCTCCTGCAACAATCACATAATTCTACAGAGGAGCTTGTCCAGGAATTCTGTCCTTCAAGGGTGCTGCCTCGTGGAACACGAAGCTTTTCCAGATTTCTACTTGCTGACTCGGGCTGTACCCGGTCAGCCACTTTCTCCTGGTTGGCTATGCGCAGGGCACGCTGGTGTGGCTTTCTGCCACTCCCGCTGGAAAGCAGCTATCTGCTCGCACATGGATGGCATTTCCACAGTCTGCCTTGGGTAGTATGCAACACCCAACGGGTGGAATTCAGAAATTTGCTCCAAGCATAACAACTGTCACTAACTTTGCAGTGGGTTTTTAAAATGTTTTTACTGCCCTAACCGGTTTGGCTCAGTGGATAGAGCGTCAGCCTGTGGACTCAAGGGTCCCAGGTTCGATTCCGGTCAAGGGCATGTACCTGGGTTGCGGGCACATCCCCAGTGGGGGGCGTGCAGGAGGCAGCTGATGGATGTTTCTCTCTCACCGATGTTTCTAACTCTCTATCCCTCTTTCTTCCTCTCTGTAAAAAAATCAGTAAAATATATTTAAAAATAAAAATCATCATTTTCCTCTTTAAAAAAAATAAATAAATAAATGTTTTTATTGAACTCAGAGAGGAAGGGAGAGGGAGAGAGAGAGATAGAAACATCAACGATGAGGAGAGAAATCACTGATTGGCTGCCTCCTGCCCGCCCCCTACTGGGGATCGAGCCCCGGGCATGTGCTCTTGACTGGAATAGAACCCGGGACCCTTCAGTCCGCAGGCCGACGCTCTATCCACTGAGCCACACCGGTTAGGGCTGCAGTGGGTTTTTAAATCTTGGCAGTTGTGTGGCTTGTGCAAATGGTGCCTCTATGAGTGACACCTCCGTGGGTTTGGTCTTTTCTCTGTCTTTAGGGACCAAATCCATCAGCTGCAAATTGGAACCCATTTTGTACTTTTCCTGCAAATGTTTGTTTTACCCGAGAAGTCACACTGCTTTGTCTGAAAATGAAACCATAACTTTAATGGCTTCATGTCATTATCTGAAGTTTCAAAAGGTACGATACACTGGAGACGTAAGGAGAATGGCTCACTCATCAAATAAAATTCAACGTTTTTATATTCATTATGTTTACTAATTGTCCTTTTCTGTTTCAGTGGCTTGTTAAAAAAAAAAAAAATTAATTCACAGAATCACCCTATCTCAGCCCAAAGAAACGCATATTCTCTATTTACCCTGGAAATCCTGTTCACGATATATAATTATGACGTTATTCTGAATTATAATTAATACTATAATTCATCTGTTCTCTTATGTTTTAATGAACCACTTTCAAATCACTGATCCTTTTGTTTGTAAACTGAAGATACAATGTAAAAATTAGATAATAAAAATGGCCACTTACAAATGTACTTAAGACTTAACATAAAAAAGACCATCAGTGAGACAGCTTGGCATGAGATTGACTGGGTGTTAGACCAACGATTTTCAACCTTTTTCATCTCATGTGGTGCAAAGCCCGCAAAACACAACTGTCCCATTTTTTTATTTGACAATCTAAGGAAATGAGGTCAGTGCCCCTGACTAAGTGGTCAGGTACTGCATGTTTTAAAAATCACTGCAGCCCACCGGTTGAAAATCGCTAAACTAGACAAACGTATCAGACGCAGAGTCTTGTAGCACATGTGAGAACATAAAGGTAATGAAGAACGTTACGAAGCAGCCTGGTGGGTGTGGCTCAGTGGTTGAGTGTCGGCCCAGGAACCAAGAGGTCACCAGTTCAATTCCTGGTCAGGGCATGTGCCCGGGTTGTGGGGTCAATCCCCAGTGGGGGTGTGCAGGAGGCAGCCGATCAATGATTCTCTCTCATCGAGGTTTCTCTCTCTCTTCTTCTCCCCCTTCCTCTCTCTCTAAAAAGCAATAAAAACATATTTTAAAAAAAGAAAAAGAAACAGAATTATAAATAGTTAAGAGCAAGGGCTCTGGACCCAAGATGACCTGATTCCAAATCCAGGCTTTTCTACTTACTAGCTGTTGGCCTGGGGCAGGCAACTTAAACTCCCTGCGTCTTGGTTTCTGCCCATAAAAAGGAATAATTACTATAGCACCCAACTCACTGGGTCCTGTGCGAATTCATTAACACACGTATTGGAGTGGTGTTTGACAGAGGAAGTGCTAAAAATGTTCGCTTATATCTCTAATGGGTGTCCATGAACATTGTAGCTCACTTTACATTTTGAATTTGTGAAATGGACGTTAGCCACTGTCCCTGTAGTTTGAAACCCACAAACCACCACTGGTCCGTGAACACCGTTACTATGTAGCATCTCTGCCAGGGGACGTACTCACCACCTGGGACGCAGGTTGACAAAACCATTGAGGCCGTCCTGTTGGATTCTGGATTTTCAACCAAACAATGTACTTCCCGTGAGAGATCATCCTCCTTCGTAAAATTTAGCACAAGGGCCTCGAGCTCCCAGCTTCCCTTACACTGTGGGGAAGGGCAACGCCACATGTAGCGTAACAGCTCCCGATGCCGGCCGTAACTCTGAGGCACCTCGCAAATGACGTAGATGACCTCATTCATCAGTGTACAATTTAGTGTCGGAGACGGGAGAGGGTCTGGGAAAAAAGGTAACGTTTAGTCCAAGAATAATAATATGCAGACTCATCATCTGTGAACTTACGAAAACCTCCCAACTTCCTTGTGAGTTTAAGAGATGGGCAGGCCACTTCCCTGGGCACCAATAGGAGAGCATTCTCCCTCCCCCCCCCCCCCCCCCCCGCCACCCGCCCCCGCCACCCGGAAGTCCAATCTGCCTGCTCCAATTCAGGACACCTGCGGGCCCCTGCTCTCATCCTCGACTCTGAAAGCCCCAAGATCGCGGACGGGATGGTGGCAAACTCACTCAGCGGCAGATCCTCACCTGAACGACATGAGGATTTCTAGTTTTTATTTTTCTCACTTATTACAAGTATTCGTTACCGCGTTTACTAAAAACAGTCACGTGCTTGAGTGTGGGGTGCTCCCCATAACTACGTGGGGTGCTTTTTTTTGTGCATTTTTTTTTGTAGAGAATTGCATTTTAAAAAATATTTTTTTTATTGATTTCAGAGGAGAAGGGAGAGGGAGAGATAGAAACATCAGTGATGAGAGAGAATCATTGATCGGCTGCCTCCTGCACGCCCCCTACTGAGGATCCAGCCCGAAACCCGGGCATGTGCCCTTGACCGGAATCGAACCTGGGACCCTTCTGTCCGCAGGCCAACGCTCTATCCCCTGAGCCAAGCCGGCTAGAGCAGTGGGGTGCTTTTTAATCTACAGAGAGGAAAGAGTTTATACTACTTTTCGAAAATCTGAAATGTTTCAAAGTGACTCAAAGGGTTTTGTGAAAGGTACCGTGGGCTGGCCCCACTGACAGGTAGGATAAGGCGTGGCACCTGTCAGGGACCTGCCAGCCCCGAGGCCTCCCTCTCAGATTTCCCCCGGGAAGCGCCTCCTACCGGCTAAGGCAGCCTGGGCCTGCACACCGCAGGCGAAGACACTCACAGGTCACACTGCACCATCTCACCCGCTCACATCGTAATGCTCATTTGTGTCTCACGCGTCCTGTATTTCATTCAGATGCCTTCCTGCATCTCTACTCCCACCCCCTAACTAATTATAAGACATTTGAGAAAACGTAAATATACAGGAAATATACACCAAAAAAGTCCTGGTAGCATTTGGATAATAAAATTTCAATACATTATAAACATGTACTAAAAAGCAAATTATAGCAAAGTTGCATCAAGGCTGGTACAGTGAAGCTCCCGTGAGGGCGTGGGGCACTGGCAGGGGTCACTGGCCAGGAGCTGGGAGGTGTGAGCATTGGCCCCGGCAGGCTGTGCGGCCTTGGACCACAGCTCCTGTAGGAGCTGCAAGACTTTAGGAGCCCAGGCTCCTGTTCTATAAAAGGAGAAACCCATTGCTAAGACTGTCTCGTTTTCCTCTGTAAGAGAGAACAGAACACGGTCACGGTCAAGGCAAGGTGGGATAGGAAAATGCCGTGAGGGGAGACCCGTGGGAGAACTAGTATCACGTCCTGTGCTGTCAGAGCCCACTTAGCGACACAGAAGCTCTTCCAGGAGCTCTCGTGGCTCCACCACTGTCACATCCCGGCCTGGGAGAGCCGGGCCGCCTGCTCACCAACAGGTGTGCAGACCTTTCTGTGGCGGCTGGGTGACCTTCTGCACGCAGACCTTCCCATCGGTAGCCCTTCCTCGCCTCTCGCTGCCCGGGGTCTTACCACAGCGACTTCTAACAGATTAGCCAACCTGCACCTTAAACAGATTCAACAGGCCAGGAACGTGCCTCCTTCATCCCCCACAATAACTGAGTGAGTCGCTGTGTAATTAATTAATTCCGCCCACCACCCTGTCAGAGAGGAGGATTTCCTCTACAGACCAGCTGGCATCTGCATCTTTCCATTAACTTCAGTAAAAAATTACACACCGGTCTGGACCGGTTCAGGGAAGGGCAGTCACTTCGACTTACATGGACGTTCCAATGCAACGAAGGCTGTGAAGGGGCTGAGAAAGAGCTCATGGACACCATTAGCGGAGATTCGCAGGGGGCTTTGCAGGAGAAGGGAAAGCCAATAGCAACTCCTATGCAGAAGCAAGAGGTGCCAGGAAACCCCCTTCTACCCGTAAAACTCCCTTTCTGAAAGCCTTCCGTTAGGTCTGGTGTCTCCGGAAGAGTAAATACCAACGCACTTAAATAGAACTAAACACACTCTCCCCCAGAAGTCTGACTTCCCCATTTTAAGACAACGAGGACGATGAATTATTTAGTCAACTGGTGTAAAGCCATGAGTCATTCTATGTCTTTTTATGACAAGTTCTAAATACGGTTGAGTCTTCCTTGGCTTATCTTCGGATCTTCTCCTTTTCCAACATCTCCTACGGACACCTCTGTCTACCTGAGCGACCACAGTGGCTTCTACCCCGGCGCCTCTTCTCCCCGATCCACCGTAAATACCTACCACCCGGTTCACCTTCCAAAACTAGATTTCACCGAGTCTACTGTGGGAGGCAGAGGCTCCTCACAGCCACAGGCTACGGCCCAGGTTCCCCAAGCAGGACCTGAAGTGCCCCAGTCGATACTGCGTTTATCACGGAGGGAAACGCGCCTCCTGTGTTTGGCTCCTCTGCAGGCCTTCGCCAGGCTTCCTCAGGCTATCCGTCAGCACAGCCGAGGACCTGAGCTAAAAGTAGAAGGGGCAGGACATCTGCTACTGAGAGATGAAGGGATCAGAATGACTGGAAATGACAAGTTCTAGGTTACACCATGGCAAGCGAGGACAGCAGACAGCAAGGACTGAGAAACTGGGACATTAAAAAGAACCTTTATTTCAATATCACAATCCCCGAGAACTATGACCCTGGCGGGAACATCAGAAACAGTGAAAATGAACCAGGCACTACAACGATCCAGAAAAACTGGGGGTGATGTTCACGGCAGCATTACGTACAGTAGCCGAGACACAGAAACAACCTACGTGTCCATCGTAGCATGAATAGATATAAAAGCTGTGGTATATGTACATACAACAGAGTATTAGTCAGCCATAAAAAAACATTTTTATTTATTTCAGAGAGAAAGGGAGAGGGAGAGAGAGGTAGAAACATCAATGATGAAAGAGAATCATCGATCGGCTGCCTCCTGCACGCCCCACACTGGTGATCGAGCCCGCAATGTGGACATGTGCCCTGACCACGGATCGAACTGTGACCCCCCTGGTCAACACTCAACCACTGAGCCATGCCAGCCAGGTGAAATTTGCCATTTTAAACAGACCAAGTTATGAAATACTCACCGAGGACTGTAAGATGAAATTTAGAGCTATCTGTAAGATCCGCGGATTTCATTTCATATTCATCTTCGTCCGATGATGTTAAATTGAAGATGGTGAGGTTACCTGACTTAGGGTCTAAATGAACCCTCCCTTCAAAATGGGAGTAAGTTCTGACCTCAAGGTTTGTACTCCATTCTGTCATCTTATCCTTTCCTTTTTTCCATATGATCTCTGTAAAGTTTACAGTGCTTGATGGCGACAAAGTGATATTCCCACCTATACTTCCATAACGCAGTAAGCTCTGGCAGCTGATGAAACCTACGAGAGAGAGAGAAAAAAAAAGGTTAGGAAAAAAATATGATTGTTGAAAACAGAGAACCATCTTCCAAGACGCTCTATGGAGAAAGGAGTTGAATTTCGTGGTAAAAATTATTCATCGGCCACTTTGTGCGCTAAGCTGATAAACCGCCGACAGAAAGTACAGGAAGTAGATGCCTGACCAGGTAGAAACCACTCTTTTTCTTTTTTTAATCCTCACCTGAGGATATTTTTCCATTGATTTTTAGAGAGGAAGGGAGGGGTGACAGTGAGAGAAACATCGATGTGAGAGAGACACATGGATTGGCTGCTTCCCGCACACGCCCCCACCAGGGCTGGGGACTGAGCCTGCAACCCAGGCACGTGCCCTTGACCGGAATTGAACCCTGGACCCTCAGTCCGTGGGCTGATGCTCTATCTACTGAGCCAAACCAGCTAGGGCTAGAATCCACTCTTTAACTGGGGCCCACAAAAACCCAGGAAGTGGAGTTAACATTGGTGGAGCACCCCCTACATGCCAGGCACGTGGGCAATGCTGGGAAAATGGCAGCAAACAAGACGGGCATCGCTCCAGGGCCTCGAGGAGTCTCACTGGGTGGAGAGGACACAGAGGAGGCGAGGACAGCCACCTGGGCGGGGCCTTCCCCAGGAAGCCATGCTGAAGGAGGAGGGGAGTCGGCCAGCTGAGGGCTGGCTAAGGAGGGAGGAGAGTGGGTGGAAGATAGAGGAAGCAGTGCTCCAAGGCCTGTCCCGAATCGAGGAGTGTGGTCTGTTTGAGGAAATAAAAGCAGTTCCCAATGTCTGGAACAGAGAGCCGGGGGTGGGGAGCAGGAAGGAGGCTGCGGAGGCGGGCGGGGCCCTCTCCGAGTGTGTGAGCAGGGGCTGGAGGGGTCAGGGAAGGATGCTACGGGCTTGGGACGTATCCTGATGGCAAAGGAGAGCTACAGAAAGGGTGTAAACAGAAGATGAGCAGGACGCAATGTAAGTTTCCGCCGGCTGACCATCTGCAGAGCGGCCAGCGGTTGAGTGGCGGCAGAGAAAGCAGGACAGAGGCGGCGCAAGGAGTGGCGGACGGACAGACCAGGCCGGGACGCCCCCGCGAGTGGATGGACTGGAGAGGTTATCACAGGAGTTGGTGACTGGATGTGGGGACGAGGGGTAGGGAGGCCATACCGGTGGCTGTCGGGCAGTCCGCTTTCTTGGCTGACAGGGGAGCTATTGAGATCAAACCCAATGACAGGGAGCACGCCAGAGGGACGGTGAGGATTATGGGACCGTGTGGCTGGAGCTGATTCAAACCTGTCACAAGCCCGTGGTTAACCTCTCTGATGGAAGGATTTCAATGAGGGCCTCCCCCCACCACACCCCAAACGAGTCATTAAACATTTATCACCACCACTAAGACCGGGGTATTCCTGATGCCCCCCAAATGCGTTTAGATGCATCTTGCTCCAGGCTTAACTTTCTTGTTAAAGAGAGAAGAACGGCTGTTAAGGGAAAAGACATTAAACTGAAATTTGAAGTTTTTGCCGAGCAGCAACCAGGGTAACTGCGAGAGCGTAGGAGAAATCAAGACATTCAATAACCAACTGTAGGCAACGGTGCCCAGTAATTTCAAGTGAGAAGCAAATATCCCCACCTGTCTATTTGCAAGGACATTTAGAACCATCCCCCTTAATTCAGGGAGACTGCCCTCAAAAAGGCAGCAGCACCCCGGCTGACTGCTGATTACGCACCATCTCCCGGATTCAACCACAGTACGTGGGACGCAGGTGAAGGCAGCCGGATCCCAAGCGGAGAGTCTCCCACACACTTAGTGGGGCCTGAAACGCCTCTGAATGAATGAATGAATGAATGAATGAATGAATGAGCGCGTAGGGTGGAGGTGGGAGAAAAGCGATGTTCCCTGAACTGTGAAACAGGAAAAAAACAAGCCAGGAACGGTGTGGAGAGAAGCGAGGAGGGAGGGAAGGGAGACTTCTGTTCAGAAAGAATCGCAGTAATTCTGAGCTGGAAGCAACTCTAAAGTATATACAAATTACTTCCATTTCACAGGCGACGGGACGGAGCACCAAGGAAAGTGACTGAAGGCCTCCACTCTTCCAGGTGTGTTCACGTCCTCCCGCGTCCCTCTCAAACCCTCTGCACGCCCAGGTGCAGTGGGGATGCTACGTCCGTTTTACAGATGGGCAAATAGGCCCCAGGGGCACACCAACTGCTCCGTGTCTCAGCAAGTTTAGGGCAGCAGAGGGACAGGGCACAGGTTTTCTGATTCCTTGCCCAGCTCCCCTTTCACCACAGCCTGGTCCATCATTCATTCATTCCGAAATACTCACTGGGCATCTATTTTGTGTGGGAGGACCAGACAAGAAGGGTCCCTGCCCTCTTGGAGTTTATGTTCTGGTAGAGACACCAGACTTCATACAAATGATTAGACAAACATCCAATTGCAGCTGTGAGAGGGGCCAAGATCTGGAAACAGCCCAAGTGCCCATCAGATGAGTGGATTAAAAAGCTGTGGTACGTTTACACAATGGAGTACTACTTGGCCATAAAAACGAAGGGAATCTTACCCTTTGGGACAGCATGGATGGACCTGGAGAGGGTTATGCTAAGTGAAATAACCCAGCCAGAGAAAGACAAGTACCATATGATGTCACTCATATGTGGAATCTAATGAACAAAAGAAACTAATAGACAAAACAGAAACAGACCCATGGATAGAGAGCAGACTGACAGCTGTCAGGGGTTGGGGGCTGGGAGATAAAGGCGAAGGGATTAAGCAAAGAAAAAACCACCATCGATGCAGACACAGTATGGTGATTGCCACAGGGAATGGGGGGGCGGAGGCAGGCGAGAGTAAACGGGGATAAATGACAATGAAAGGGGACTTGATGTGGGGTGGTGAACACGCACTACAGTATACAGATGAAGTGTTATAGAACTGTACACCTGAAACCTATATACTTTTATTAACCAATGTCACCCAATAAATTTTCTAAGGTAAATAAACATGTGAGATGTAAAAGAGTGAGGGAGGGGAAAGGGAACAAGAGAGACTTAAGTGTAGGAAGGAAGAAAAGCCAGAGCAAATCCATCCATCCATCCGTCCATCCATTGATCCATCCGTCCGTCCATCCATCCATCCGTCCGTCCACCCGTCCGTCCATCCATCCATCCGTCTGTCCGTCCGTCCGTCCGTCCATCCATCCGTCCGTCCATTGATCCATCCGTCCGTCCATCCATCCATCCATCCGTCCGTCCATCCGTCTGTCCGTCCATCCATCCATCCGTCCGTCCATCCATTCGTCCACCCGTCCGTCCGTCCATCCATCCATCCATCCATCCATGCAAGGAGCAATCAAAGAAGTCATAGGGAAACTCAATAAACAGTTAAGCGAATTAACTAAACTGATATAGAATACAACTTAAATGCAGTCCAAGAGGCAGCAAAACTGGGGTCACCCCAAACCCTGAGTGCCATGGGACCTGGCTGAAGAACCATGACGCGGCAAGGACAGGCACAGACCTTTAACTGGAGCCGAAGAGTAGGTGGCCTGGGACCACTCAAGACACAGTCGAAACAGCCCCCTTCCTTTCCCCAGCCTGCCTCGGGCACCAGAGCCAGACAGAGGGTCTGCTGGCTCCCCACTCCCCATCCTATCCTACCAGCCTATCCCCCGCTGTTCCTTCTGACATGTTCCCTTTGTCTACTGCTTCCCCTTCAAGGCCAAGGGGGCGGCCCCCGCTAAGGTTGTAAACCTGTACCCTGTACCCACGCAGAGACGCCAGCCCCAGTGCAAGTCCAAGCCTGTCTGAGGCCTGGGAGAGGCGGCCTGTCACTGGTGCCGTTTCTCAGAGATGTGCCCACCGCTCTTCGGGACTTAGGGAAAGGGCTTTCCTTAGAAATGCCTTTTTAAAGACTTCTTTCTCTCTCTAAAGCACCGTCCGGGTCAGGTGGCCTGCAGACGGCAGCAGTTAAGGTAAAAATTTATTTGAGGCAAAACAATAAAATCCCCTAATAGTTTCAGTACCCGAATGCATGCAGCGTGGCATTTCCCCGTGTGTATGACACTACGACGGGGGCTGGCTGAGGTCTCCGCCCAGCCTGAAGATGGCAGGGACCGGGGGCAGCCCTGGTTGCTTTGACACAGCCTTAACCCTCTCATTTCTCTGAAACCATGTCTCACTTTCAGCCCTTGGAGGACTGGCTCACAGTCCAGGCAACGAAGTCTCTGTTCAGACATTTACATACATTTACATACGGGGGGGTGGGGGGCCATCCGCCCAGAATGACTGAGGGGGTGCTGGTACAAGTCATGTTTCATTAAGTTCATGAATATCCTCAGCTTAGTCAGATGCATGTTCCAGTTTTGGGGTGGAAACAGGCTCAGCAAGTATGGAGATGATAAAGAAGGACACGGGGGCAGGGGGGGGGTAAGAGATCAACCGAAAGACTTGTGTGCATGCATATAAGCATAACCAATGGACACAAGACACTGGGGGGGTAGGGGAACCTGGGGAAGGTCAAGGGGAAAAAAAAAAGGAGACATATGTAATACTCTTTGTAATACTTTAAGCAATAAAACAAAATTTTAAAAAAAAGAAAAAAATGTTATATACAAATGAAATCATATCTTAAAAAAATAAAGGACACGGTGTTTTACTCAAGGGAGTTTGCTGCAGCTCAATTCTTTTTTTTTTTTTTCTTCTTGCAGCTCAATTCTTTAACTTAGTTCTTAGTAAACCCAATCAAATGAGCTCTAGGCCAGCTCAACCTCGACAACATTTAACAACGCAGCAGCACAAACACTCATTACATTTGGGGCTGACGGTGTGCCAAGCATCTTCTAAAAAGCTAAATCTAGCCTGGCCGGTGTTGCTTGCTGGTTAGAGCACTATCCTGCACACCAAAGGGTCACGGGTTCGATTCCCGGTCAAGGGCACGTACCTGGGTTGCAGGTTCCATCCTAGACCGTTGAGGGCGTGAGCAGGAGGCA